CTAAAAGATAAAGAATTATCCGATTTTTCGATTCGTACAATGAAAAGAGATCGTTAGATTATTGTTTAGGTTGACGGACACGCATATCTTAGTTTTTTTTTTTTTTTTTTTGGTCATTGGTCAAACTCAAACAAAAACATTGTTTTCAATATCGTTATGATGAGTCCCCGATTGAATAGAATTAGAATTTTATTATAAACAATTGTCTTGTAAATGGAATTTTTAAAGCATTCTGAATGTATAAATAAAGAAAAAAAAGTGTGCAAGACAATAAGAAATACTACCTGCCAAAAAAAAAAAAGTGGATGTTTGTTTTATCGGCTGAAAAAATGTAAGAAATCCGATCCCATATATAAAGGAACACACACAACACACACACACACACACACACACACACACACACACACACAAACACACACACACACACACACTGGGTTTTTAACCTAAGTCACTCCACGGAATCGCTAAAACATAGAGCATAGTCTGATGAAAAAAGACATAAAGTTTATGAAAACAAAATTTTATCGTCAAAATACTTATGTTTTTATGAAGAGGATAGACTAAATTTTTTTAATTATTTTTTAAAATTTTTCCATCTTTTTAGAATATTCTAAATTTTGATTTAAAAACCTTGTTTCTCTTTGTCGCAACAAGGGGTAGTAAATAACATAGATAATTTTAACGCGTTTTTTTGTATTTACACACATTAATTTGGAAAATCTTGCAAAAATAGAAATAATTGTCAGATGTTAATGAAACTTTCAGAAACTATTCACAGATGATTGAAATTATTATAAATATGTTTTTTTTTTTATTAAAGTCATGGCAGAAATATTTTTTTTTTATTTATTAACACCCCATAACTAATTTTATGAAAAACTCTAGAAATTCGAGACCATCGGTTTTAGTGATTACAATAGTTAAAAGCACAAGGCTTTGAAGAATGCAAATCATGTTGTTTTTTTTGTTTTTTGTTTGGCCAACGTAACTGAAAATCAGCTGTGAATTGTAACATACAAAACTCAATAAAACAAATATATTATTTAGTTTCAAATGCTTTTATTTGTTTTAATTTGTTTTTATGAATATGGACAATATTTTCAGAAAGCAAAAAATTTTTTCAATGAAAATTAAATTTTTAATACAATTATTTCTTATTTCTTTAATTTTAAAAAGATTTTTAAAAAATTTTTAAATTGAATTTTTAAAAGCAACATCAACCTTTCAAAATATCCGTGTGAGATTGTCATTGTCTAGCGCTTTGAAAATTGTATAATTTGGACCAATCAGATTAGCCATGGTAATTAAGAAATGTAATTTTTGTGTTTATAGTCGGACAGTAATTATCAAGTATGGAAGACCAACCAGAATACAATTTAGTTGCATTATTTGAGTTCAGCATTGTTCTCCGCTGTTAAGCCCTTTACTTTTGCGAAACACGTATGGAGAAGTTAATTTGAGTTTTCAATTTCAACTGAGAAGGGTACCTACAAGTAACAGTATAATCTTATGAAATTTAACTACTGTTAAACTTTAATTTATATGATCTTATTTTATATTAATCTCAGTTATGACATTTTCCATAAATGAAATATCAAAATTAATAATAAAATGAATGGAAATACAAATAACACAGTAAAATGTAACAAATGTACATAAAATTATAGTATTTCATGTACACTTCTGATAAAATTTCATAAGAAAGGTACCTAAATTAATTAGATACCTTTTTCTTATGAAATTTAATCTCAATATTAACAGTCTTATTTTTTAATTTCTTTATATCTTCCATAAAGCATCGTAAACGTAAAAATGAAAGCTAAGTACAAAAAAATAAATAAATAAAAAATAAAAAATTAGAGCGCTGAAAGTTTTCCTTAAAAGTAACGAGGTAAATAATGTGTTCACTTAAATAATTTCACTTTCTTCCATCCGTAGAAAGAATTATCCTCCCGTAAGTTATCTAAACGTCATGAATGTGCCTTTCGTCAATCGTCAAGCGACGCGAAAGGTTATGACCTGCTTTGTTTTATTTTCAAATTACATTTTTTCGGCGCAGAAGCTAAGTTAAGCTTGGTTCAAAATATTTTAAATAAACAGTATATTTTCTGTTTTTATTAAAATCAGTTTTGAAAAAATGATAATTGATTTTTAAAAGAATATCAAAATCAGATTTTAATCTTTTTTATCAAATCGAATGATTGAAAATGATTGATTATCTGTCCTTTTTTTTTGACCAACAAAAAAACAATATTTTTAACGATAATTTCAGACGTGCTAGGAACGATTAAAAAATGTACAAAATTACCCAAAAAATACTTTGATCTTTCCTCTTTAATAATAATATGAACATTAGACGATAAAATTTTGTTTTCGTCAAGTTCGGCTTTTTTTTCATCATGCTATGCTCTTTTGTTTACATTTTCGTGGGTGAGTTGTCCCCCTTTCATTCTCACGATGTGTCTTAATCGTGTTTTCAAATTGATTTTGTTAAAAAACA